GATCATGGCTACCACCTAGCGGCTCTTCGACAGGCGTGCGACGAAGAAGATATTGAATGGATGGAACAGCAGCACGACTTATCACAAGACAGACCGCAAGCTGATCGTCACCACACACCAGTTAAAAGTCCAAATCCTAAAAAAATGAAGGCTAACGAATCGCAGACGCAAAACGAAGTTTCAAACACAGTTCTCCTCAATGCTATCCAAAAACTGGTATGTAAATTTGACACCCAAAGTGAACATTTAAAGAATTATGAATTCCAGTTGCAAGAAAACACCGACGCTGTAAGAAAAGTAAAGGAGTCCGTGGATGCTAATACGGAAGCTGTTAAATCTGTGGTGGAAGATGTGAAACGTATTAAAACGCAGATGGCGACGCTGAAAAAAGAGAACGAGGCTCTTCGTGAAATGTGTCTGGAGCATGCTAGATACAAACGGAGATGGTCTTTGCTGCTAACTGGCGTTCCTGAGAAGGAGGGGGAGAACACGAGAGAAGAAATAATCAGAATTCTGACCAAGATAATTCCTGCGAACGCCGAGCAGCTGTACAACACAGTGGATACAGTGCACCGGCTGGGTCAGAAGGGACGAGTTGGTGACAAACCCAGGCTGATTGTCATACAGTTTGCCATGAGAACTGTTCGAGACCTAGTGTGGAAGATGTCCAAGGAGGCGAAGCTCTGCAAGGAGATGAAGATTCGGTTTAGAGAGGACTTTTGTAAGGAAGACAGAGAAGCCCGCAAACGTCTGTGGCCGAGGGTGGAGGAGGCAAGGAGCAGAGGGCTCAAAGCTTTCCTGAAGGACGGATATGCTGTCATCGATGGTCGTCAAATCAAAGAATGAAAGAACTTTATAACGACCTAGATAAGAAGGTATAACTGTTCAACTAAATTTAAGCCGGTAACTTGCTCAATGGTCCCTGACTTTGACTGGGTCTATTAGTTAATAGGAGGTAAAATGTTCCATTGCCTTACTCTAGTTATTACAGCACTTTCAAGCTATATTCAATGGTTCTTTCAATATTTTCTTTAAATGTTCGAGGTTTAAGAAGTAACATAAAGCGTAAAGCTTACAAAAAATCTTTTTTGTAAGGAACAGCCTAACACGAATTGTTTTTTATTTCAAGAGACACACAGTAGTAAAGATGATCATATATTTTGGAGAAAGCAGTGGGGAAGCGGTGATATTTATTTATCTCATGGTACCTCTCATTCAGCAGGAGTGGCTATTTTTCTACATCGTTTTAATGGAAGAGTTCTTGATCATAAAGGTGATGAGGAAGGTCATTGGTTAATGGTTAACATGGAGTTGGATGATACTAAGTACATTTTAGTAAATGTTTATGGGTTCAACAATAGAGCTAAAAACAGGAAATTGATTTCTGATTTGAAAAAAATGATAGAAGAATGGAAGATCATCTATTCAACTGAAAAAGTCGTTGTTGCAGGTGACTTTAATATGGTACCAGATGAAAAACTGGATAGATTTCCAACTAAATATAACTCTTCTCATTTTAACCAAATATTAATGGATTTCTCCTGCACCCTCAACCTAATCGATATCTGGCGTAACTTAAACCCAGAAAAACTGCAATACACCTGGAATAATTCTGAGCGCTCTCAATGCTCAAGACTGGATTATTGCTTAATAACTGGTAGTCTCTTCCCCCTATCATCCAACTGTAAGATTCTTCACTCCCCTGTTACTGACCATTGTGCCATAACACTTTCAATCTCCCCGGATAATAGATTATCAGAACCGAAGAATTCTCACTGGAAGTTTAACAGTAACCTCTTACGAAGCTCGTCTTTTTGTATAAAAATTAAATCATTGATAGGAGAGGTAAAAGCAATGGAGGATTTTTCTTCTACTAGTAAATGGGAATGGTTGAAGTTTAATGTCAGAAAAATTGCTAGTGAAGAAGGAAAATTAATGGCTAATAAAAGGAGACAGAAACAGGCTGAAATTACTGCACAAATAAGTTCATTGTGCAATTTATCACATCTGACAGAGGAAAACTCTATAGAACTAAACCAGTTGCAGTACAAACTAGATGAACTTTATATAGACAAAGTAAAAGGTGCCTTCATTCGCTCAAGGGCTAAATGGATTGAGGAGGGGGAAAAGAATTCTTCTTATTTCTTTAACCTGGAGAAAACTAGACAAACAAAAAAAACTATAATGAAGTTACAAATTAATAATACCCTGACTGAAGACCAACAGACTATAAACAACTATATCACAGAGTTCTATTCAGCCCTCTACACTACAAATTATTCCAGTTCGGAGACTAATTCTTTTTTTAGCTCTATCCATGGAAAAATTCCTCAAATTGACTCACACTTTAAAAATCTCAATGAGTCTGAAATCACTTTAGCTGAATTGGATGCTGCTGTTTCCCAAATGGCGAATGGTAAATCACCAGGTCCCGACGGAATCACGATTGAATTTTACAGATATTTCTGGAATGACATTAAAGATCTATTACTAGAGGTATTTAATGAATGTATAAATGATCAGATGCTATCTCCAACTATGAAACGAGGAATAATTTCTTTACTTCCTAAACCAAACAAGGACCCTATCCTTTTAGATAACTGGAGACCTATCACACTTCTTTGCTGTGACTACAAATTATTAGCTCATGTCTATGCCAACAGATTAAAAACAGGAATAACTCAAATAATAGATGAGACACAGTCAGCCTTTATAAAAGGGCGTCATATCCATAATCATACCCGTTTAGTATTAGATATGTTGGATTACAATCATTTAATTCCTCATGATAGCCTTATTTTATTTCTTGATTTCTTTAAAGCTTTTGATTCTTTGGAGCATAATTTTTTATTTAAAGCTCTGGAGGCTGTGGGTTTTGGTCCCAGATTTGTTAGTGTAATGAAAATGTTGTACAGAGATATAACAAGTAGTATTGCACTCAATCAGGAGTTTTCTAATAGTTTTAAAATTCATCGTGGCATTCGGCAGGGATGCCCTATTAGCCCGTTATTGTTTATTGTTGCAGCAGAAATGCTTGCCATTTATATCAAACTCTCTTCAGATCTGGAAGGCATAAACATTCTTGATAAAGAATTTAAAATTAGTCAATTTGCTGATGACACTGCCTTATTTCTAAGGAATGTAAATATGGTCTCTACTGCAATTAATAAAATCCTTTCATTCTCAAAAGCATCCGGCTTAACACTAAACCTTAAAAAATGTGAAATCTTAGCTGTACACAACTGTAATCAAAATACTATTAACAATATACCAGTAAAAGAGGAGGTAAAATACCTTGGTTTAATAATCAGTAAAAATACTAATGATCGAGAGAATAATAACATAACTCCTAGATTAAATGTAGTTAAAAAAATATTTAATCATTGGTTAACACGTGATTTATCCATATTAGGTCGTATCTTACTGTCTAAAGCAGAAGGACTTTCAAGACTCATATACCCCTGTTATTCAATTTTTACATCTCCTAAAATGATTAAACTGTCCAATTCTATTATATTCAGCTTTATCTGGAAGAATAAAACACATTATATACGCAAATCACAATTAGTTAAAGACTATGAAAATGGGGGCTTGAAAGCTTTAGACTTTGAATCTATTATTGCTGCATTCAGGCACAGATGGATAAAAGACTGCATTTCCTGTCCTCAATCTATGTGGTACCATATTCCAAACAAACTCTTTAATAAGGTCGGGGGGTTAGATTTTTTGCTCAGATGTGATTATGAAATATCTAAGCTTCCTCTTAAGTTGTCTAGTTTCTATAAGCAAGCTTTGAATTTTGGGAAACTAATTTTCACCCACAATTTTTCACCTCACAATTCTGTGTTGTGGAATAATAGGGTTATAGTCATCAATAAGAAGTCCTTATTTAAATCAGACTGGTATGATAACGGTGTATGTTTTGTTGTTGATCTGCTTGATAGAAATGGAAACTTGCTATCTTATGAAGAATTTATTGATAAGTATAAAATAGAGATTTCATTTAATAATTATAATAAGGTTTGTAAAGCAATACCCACACCGTTGTTAAATCTTATCGTAAATACTTTAAAGTATTCATTAATAAGAACATGCTTACCTTCACTGACGATAGGTAATACCTCAATAAAGGACAAACAATTTAATAATAAGTTCATCTCTAATACCTTTAAGCAAATAGTATTCTGCAACTACAATGTCAATGTCAGACATGACCTTGATAGCATATTGAAAGACAAGTCATTTTCTTTTTACTTAAAATACCCACTTGCGCCTAAAATGAAAGAAACACACTTCAGAATCATATCAGGCATTTATCCAGTTGGAGAATTCCTGCATAAAAGGTTTAATTTTGAGGCCGACTCTTGTGCTTTCTGTTCTTCCGATCCAGAAACACTAGAGCATCTATTTTTCACTTGTCAGTATGTTAATGCTTTCTGGTTTGAAATACACTGTTGGGTTTCACTCAGAATTTCCAATGTACCTGCCTTCACATCTAAGGATATTCTTTACTTTATGGACAATCTGGATTCTGAAATCTCAGATGTTGTCAATTTTGTAATAGTGCTATGTAAGTTTTTCATTCATTTATGTAAGTGGAAGAATGCCTCTCCTATGTTTACCGTCTTCTTGAATTACTTTTGTCAATACTTTAAGTCACTTAAGCTTATTTCAAATGTGAACAAAAAAACTGCTGTACTATACTGTAAAATCAAAAAATACTTGCTCTTCTAATTTTCTTGCCTGTGTCAAAAGGTCTATGTTCCTTATTTCTTTACTCTAGAAACTTTTATTTTCTCCCTGTAAAGTTATGATGACTTGCTTCACCATCTTTATAATGTAAATTGTTACAATTCTGGTCTGTTTCCTTGACTTGTTTTGTATATGAAAATTTGTTTCAATAAAAAAAAAAAGCAAAAAAAAAGTAAGAGGCGGTTGCCAACCGCCGTTAAACAGAAAGAAGAAGAAGAAGAAGCAGAAGAAGAAGAAGAAGCAGAAGAAGAAGAAGAAGGAGCGCGCCTAATCCAGAGTTCTACCTCAAACTGTCACGGTGGCACAGAGATTTTTATAGTAGAAGAGCTACTTGCTGCTTATTCAAGGTGAACTTGTGCTTCATGGTGGTTTTATGACAGAGATAAGCAGGAAAAACGTGTGTCACTTCACAGCGTGTGTTTTAAAACTGCATTTCCGGTATCGGTATTTTTTTTGACAGCTCGAGGGGGGTGTGAGGAACTCTAAGGTAGCCTAACTTATGCTTTATCATTACACAGTGATGACGTGGTTGCTTGGTAATTGTAACTGATGTTTAACTTACCCATAAGCATAACATGTAAACAGCGTTTTTCACTGAATGACCTCTCCCAGCTCACAGTCACAGCATGACAGGAATGTGTGCAGATCTAGTCTGACAGTTGCTGTTGTAGGAAGTGTATTGATATAGTCATGTGTAATCTGTGCATGTAATGTTAATCTGCTGATTGTGTTCCTAATTAATGTGTGTAAGGAGTACAAACTCCCAAACAGTGTTACCTAGATTTGAGTTTGATTTTCTTTTATTTTGAAGGTCTGATCATTTGAAATTAGATCAAATATACACCTCTGCACAAGTGACTGATATAATACAGAATAATAGTTAAAACTGTATAAATATTTTTGCCAGTAATACCTGCTGGGAATTTGCTCACACAGATGTTTCTTCCTTCTTTACACCGCAGGTGCGTCTTTGGTCCTCTGTCCTCATGACTCGGGTCTTCGTTTACGGCACTCTGAAGAAGGGGCAGCCCAACAACTACCGCATGTTCGACAGCAACAATGGAAAGGCCGAGTACCTGGGTTCGGCGTTCACCTCCCAGAAATACCCGTTAGTGATCACCACCAAGGACAACATCCCTTTCCTGCTCAACATCCCTGGCCAGGGTCACCGAGTGCACGGGGAGATCTACAAAGTGGATGACCAGATGCTGAAATTCCTGGACACTTTTAAAAGCGTCCCAACGTGGTACCAGCGGACGGTGGTCCAGCTGGAAGTGAAGGAGTGGGTGGGGAAGACGGAAGGAGAGGAGAAGGTGTCACCGGGGAGCATCACGGACGTGTTTGTGTACACCGCCACAACGTACAAGCCAGACTGGCGCTCGCTGCCGTGCTACGAGAACTACGACTCAGAGGGAGATCATGGGCTCAAATATAATACGGAAGAAAAGCTATAAAGGGACTGATCTCAGATCTAAGAAAAAGGCATTCATAAATGTTGATTTCTTTAATTACTTATGTCTATTTTATTTTCATTATTTGTCTTTAAATACAGCCTAGAGGCTGTATTTGTTGTACTTGTTACATTTGTTTAATTAACAATTAAAAAATAAAATATTTTTTCCTTTGGCACTTTAGCGCCCTCTGTTGTTGTTCCGCTTTTATTTGGATTGTTTCCACGCGTGCGCAATGTAAGCTCGCTGTCTGACACATACTCCGGAACAGTAAGAGGCGGTAACGCTCCTTTAAGTTGTTTGCCAACCGCCATTAAACAGGAAGAAGAAGGAGAAGGAGCGCACCTAATCCAGAGTTCTTCCTCAAACTGTCACGGTGGCACGGAGATTTTTATAGTAGAAGAGCTACTTGCTGCTTATTCAAGGTGGGCTTGTGTTTCTTCATGGTGGTTTTATGACAGAGATAAGCAGGAAAAACGTGTGTCACTTCACAGCGTGTGTTTTAAAACTGCATTTCCGGTATCGGTATTTTTTTTGACAGCTCGAGGGGGGTGTGAGGAACTCTAAGGTAGCCTAACTTATGCTTTATCATTACACAGTGATGACGTGGTTGCTTGGTAATTGTAACCGATGTTTAACTTACCCATAAGCAGAGGCGGAGCCAGACATTTGAAATACCCGGGGCTTAGCCCTAAAGGGGCATGTGGGATTTTTTTTTTCTTTTTTTGGGGGGGGTAGAAATGACTGAAAGATTAATTGGCTCTGTTTTGAGTTTTGTTCAAAAAAGAATGACTTCATGTAGGGAAAAATATATATCACATATGCAGGACACCTTAAACTAGTTTTTTAATTAAGCAGCAAGGCAGAACAAAGTCGGGGCTTTATCAAGACATGAGGACTAAACCCCAATTCAACCAGACTCAGAACTGATCCAGAATTAAAACAGGACTACAACAGTTCAAAATCAGGACTGCTGAGGACTTAACCAAGACAGAACCAGAATCAGAACTAGATGATAGTAGCACTAAAAATCATCATAGACCTGCACTACACTTATTTTTTTAATTCTACCAAAGTACAATATTTAGATTGAGAAAAGTTTATATAATTATTGAGCCTTGTTGTGCAAACAAGCCTGCATAACTTAATAAATGTAGAATTTGAAAAATTGTAAGCCTAAAAAGAAACACTAGGTACAAGATACATGAGTACCTATGATACGGTGATACTTTTGGTAAACGACCATTTGACTAACATGTATGTCTCACCTGCTCTTGTTCCACCTCTGTTCTGTCCTCATTCTCCATCTCCCTCTCTGCTCCTCTCTCTCCCTCTTTGTGCTGACAATCATCAAATATACAGTTGAAACCAGATATTTACATGCTCTACAGATAAAAACACAAATACTTATTTAAGGTAAAACCTCAAATTAGACTAAATGTTTAATTTATATTTGTTAACTTTAAGAGTAAAGAGAGAAACTATCTGTATTTCTTAATTGCAAATGACATCCAAATTGTATTCAAAACTGAGACACACTTATGGAGCTCCACAATTCTTTTCCTGGTGTTTTGGTTGATATCTCTTGATTTTCCCATGTCACAGAAACAGGCTCTGTGTTTTGCCTTATATGCATCCACAGCTGTGCCACCAGTTTACTCTCATGGACTCTACTAACCTATCAGAAGCTTCTTCAGCTCAGAATGGAATCGTCTGGAGTTTTCTTATTAATTAACAATAAACTTAGTGTATATGTACTCCTAAATTTGATGAAAGTGCTAATAAATAGACAGCTCTGTCTCTCTTTATTCTGACATTTAACTAATTCAGAATATATTTCAATATTTATCTAAAACAAAAGTTTACTCTAAATTGATGTTGTACAGTAAAAATGTTTTATGTTTTCTCCCTAAAGTGTATGTAAATATCTGGTTACAAATGTGAATATCCTGCTGTGTACTGAAATTCCTCTTGTTTTGCATAGAAATATACTGAACAACATACAAAGCATAATATATAAAATAACATTTACCTGAGTTTTTTCTTTGAAAGAACCCTCTAATGTCCATTCTTATATTTCAGTACATAACTGAAACCGATTTAGTCGGGGAGGGTAAGAACTGAAAATATGAAATAAACACGTAAGCTAAGACTCTCTAAAAAAATAGCATTTGTTCGGCTTTTCATTTCGCCATTTGTTGATTCACTTGAAGAGCAAGTAACGTAATATTGGTCAAGTGATCAGTTTGATATCAATCTTTCGTGATACACCGTCATATTTAAATTATTTGTACGGTACGAATGATTTGCTTTGGTACCTGGTCAAACTTAAGCTCTCCTTAGTATGGCTGGCTCCGTTTCTCCAACAGCGCACTCACAGGCAGCAGCTGCCTCGCTCAGTCGCTTAGTGCCTGAGCGGATCATACCAATATCAGGGGGTATTCACACACAGTCGTAAATTCCCACAGTGTGCACTATGTGCTTCGAATATTGTGTGTACTTTTTGTTTTATACAGTTGTCAGCCAGGCATCTAACTATGAAAAAATTACACTCCAAAAGACCCCGGGCTTCTGACAAAAAGACCCGGGCTTAAGCCCAGTAAGCCACCCCCACGCTCCGCCCCTGCCCATAAGCATAACATGTAAACAGCGTTTTTCACTGAATGACCTCTCCCAGCTCACAGTCACAGCATGACAGGAATGTGTGCAGATCTAGTCTGACAGTTGCTGTTGTAGGAAGTGTATTGATATAGTCATGTGTAATCTGTGCATGTAATGTTAATCTGCTGATTGTGTTCCTAATTAATGTGTGTAAGGAGTACAAACTCCCAAACAGTGTTACCTAGATTTGAGTTTGATTTTCTTTTATTTTGAAGGTCTGATCATTTTAAATTAGATCAAATATACACCTCTGCACAAGTGACTGATATAATACAGAATAATAGTTAAAACTGTATAAATATTTTTGCCAGTAATACCTGCTGGGAATTTGCTCACACAGATGTTTCTTCCTTCTTTACACCACAGGTGCGTCTTTGGTCCTCTGTCCTCATGACTCGGATCTTCGTTTACGGCACTCTGAAGAAGGGGCAGCCCAACAACTACCGCATGTTCGACAACAACAATGGAAAGGCCGAGTACCTGGGTTCGGCGTTCACCTCCCAGAAATACCCGTTAGTGATCACCACCAAGGACAACATCCCTTTCCTGCTCAACATCCCTGGCCAGGGTCACCGAGTGCACGGGGAGATCTACAAAGTGGATGACCAGATGCTGAAATTCCTGGACGATTTTGAAAGCGTCCCAACGTTGTACCAGCAGACGGTGGTCCAGCTGGAGGTGAAGGAGTGGGTGGGGAAGATGGAAGGAGAGGAGAAGGTGTCACCGGGGAGCATCATGGACGTGTTTGTGTACACCGCCACTACGTACGAGCCAGACTGGCGCTCGCTGCCGTGCTACGAGAACTACGACTCAGAGGGAGATCACGGGCTCAAATATAATACGGAAGAAAAGCTATAAAGGGACTGATCTCACCGTGCTGACACAACTGACAAATGGACCTCTATGTGGTGTTAGCAGAATGGGTGAAGGAGCTCTCAGGAAAACAACACCTGGACATGGGTGCTGTTTCCTGTCGTGTGTCAAATTGAAAGAAATCTCAAGAGAAATTAATTTTAATAGCAGATAGGCAGGCTTACAATCAAAGTAAGGATAGTGTAGAGAAGGAAAAGGGCACACTGTGCCACTGAAAGTTGCATATTAGTAATGTTGTTTACAAATTTGGTTTTCTTTTTATGATTTATAATCATCTGGGAAGCATTATGATCAAACTGGAAGGCTTTTATTTTGGCGTATTGCTGTAACATGAATTGTATCTCTAACGCTAAATATTTTGGTTGGATGTCTGCTATGACACTACCGGTTTAAATGCTAAACACATGCACTTTTAATAATGCAAAGATACAGAACATACAGTAGCCGTATATGCACATCCTTTCACATGTTGTGAATGGCTGCACTGTAAACACAGATACTGGCCATCTAGTTTCTCACTAATGTGAAAATATTAATAGAAAAGCTGATCTGCAGTTCAGTAATTGCACATGTATACTAAATATAAACTGTATGGGCAACGTTCTCTGAACCACGTGCACCCATTTGTCAGCAGCTAGCTTCCTCTTACAGGATAAAAGCATAGTTTTAGAAACTGACAAGCCTCCATGTCCCTGAGAAAATCACTCCAGCCTGATGCTGTGCACCTAGAAGAATATACTCCAAACCTTTCTCAGAAAAATGAAGATGTACTGTCAGATAAGCTTATTAACACTGACTTTTTACAGTTTACTACCGTTAACTTCCAGGTGAAGCTAATATGTAAGTGCCTTCAACCTGCATTCTTTTGTATGGCCAGCCTGTGCTTCTTAAAAATGTGATTGCATAGAAGTCTGTGAGGAAATGACTCAGCTGCTTACTTGATTTATGACCTCACCAAAGAGTTTTTTGATGAGTGTGTGGTCTCAAAGAAAGTCTTATTTAATGGCATCTAGGTTAAGAAAGGCTTAGAAGAGGGTTGTCAAACATGAGGCCCAGGGGCCAGATTCAACCCGGCATGTGGGCTTTGGAAAGTTTTAAAGCTTTCCACAATGAGAAAGAGCTCAGATTCCTTTCCTATTCCTTTTTAAAAATTCTTTTCATTTACTACAGTAGAAAAAATGATTTGCACTTTAAATGTGTAGTTAAATGTGTTTATACTGACAGAAAGGAGATTTTCACTGAGTTTGACACTCTAGGCTTAGAGCATTTATATTACACAGATATGAACTCTGATTTTACACTAATCTGCAGACAATGTGTTTAATATTTACATTCTGCACATCTTTGTTTACCTCAAAAATAAAAATTCACCCTGATTTTTTTTGTATGATCTTCCATGTGCTGTGTTCATCCCCTCTAAGGGATAAACTCAATAAAAAGAGGAAAAAAGAAATTTTTGTATAAGTTTCATCTTGTTCCATATGAACACAATCTATTCATCTTTATTTTAAAATAGTAAAATCCATAAAACCTGAGGAATACTGAAGAGAAGGTAATTAGCAATAAACCAGCAAAATCTCTGTTGGCGTTGGAAGAAGGTTTCAGGTGTTTTTCGAAACAAAAAAAAAAGAATTAAGAATGACATAATTAAAAAAAAAAACATTGCAGGATTTCTTATTGTGTCCAAACTTACATTACATTTAAGTCATCAAATTACATACAGACAGATTGTCATACAATTAAAAACACAATTATTGTGTCCACATTAGAGATGGACCGATCCAATATTATGTATTGGTATCGGTCCAATACTGACGTAAATTACTGGATCGGAAATCGGAGAGAAATTAAAAAAAATGTAATTCGATCCATTAAATATCAAAAAAGCACCTCACAAAACTTGCGACATGGCGTAACTCGGATCATAACCGTAGCACGTGACAGCAGTATGCCTCACGTGATAGTGGCTGTGTGTATTTGTAGCCTCGCTACCAATCCAGCATTTCATCTCCGAGGAAGTTATCCCAGTAAAGCAAGTGTGTAAGTTCATCTCTGAGTGTTTGTAAACAGTAGCGGTTTTAGATACGGGCGGTTGCCCGGGGCGGCATCACGGGCATCGGCAAAAAAAAAATAAAATGCTCGTACTCATGCTGCCCCGACGTCAGCCAGCGCATATTGGGAATGGCATAAGCACCGATCGGTTTTCTATCGCCCATTTGCTGGGAGTAAGGGCGCCCTTCGTTTGCGAGCTGCTTGCAGCGCAGAGAGGAGAGGGCGGGGCTCCGGGGAGCAGCATCTAATAACCAACTCGCAATAAAACAAAATAAAAACAAACCAACAAACACGAAAACACCAGACATTATAATACAGACTTATAATTTGCACTGATGTTTTTTCGAAATTCTATACACGAAAAGTGAGCGCGAGAGCCCTCAGTGCGCCTGCTTGCTGCCGAAGTCAAAGTAAACTTTATTGTCATCTCCGCTACATACAGTCCAGTATATAGAGAGACGAGACGACAAGGCTCCAGTTACAGCAGTGCAAGTAAACAAACAATATATATAAGAAGAGTAAGAAAATAAACATACACTTTAGGACCAGGGGTAAAGGGATCAATAACAATTTAAAATTTACAGTTTAATGATTTAAAGTCTCACACAGAACCTGTCGTAAGGGTAGGGGGGGGGGCTGCTTCCAAATAGAGCACATTTCATTTATAATGTTGTAAATCCAAGCCCATTATGTATTCATGATTTGAATCCTGGGTTGTGCGAAATCTCAGAAATGCACCCTAGACAAAGCGAATCTGTGAACTAAGGTGGAGGTGTGTTAGGTTATGTTGTGATGATCCTTGGGTTGTAGGATGGGTGTTTATACTGGAGTGCAAAATTAAAACCAGTGGAAGATGGATAAGAAAAGTTCAAAGCCATCAGGTCCTCAGTTTAGAAAAAAGAGAAAAGAAGAGGAGGCGAAACGAGAAAAAGATACAGGTAAGCAGATGTGCCATTGGATAATGGCAGGTCATCCTGAAACAATCAGAATCAGAATACTTTATTAATCCCTATGTGGGTTACAGTTGCTCCAAGAAGAAATGGTAAAAATAGTAACAGTAACAGAGGGAGTGTTCGCCCAGGGCACCAAACAGGCTAGGACCGCCACTGTTTGTAAAGCATTCCTGCATTAACCTTTACAACCGATATATGGAGCGACTGCCTCTTCTCTCTCCCTCCCTCTCCTGTTGCTACTTCAATCATGAAACTGATCAATGATCAGCTGATCGGCTTTTCTGTCGCAAGTCCATCTCTCTTACTTGTCTATCGCCCACTTGTTAGAATGTATTTATTATTACTTTCTACACCAGGATTCTTTTCTACGTAGCTGACGGCTGGTAACTGTACAGGGGCGGATCTAGCAAAGTTTAGCCAGGGGGGCCGATAGGGCATTAACAGTGAAAAGGGGGCACAAAGACATACTTTTCTTTCTTATTCTCATTTAAAATGTCTAGCTTTTAATAAAAAAAATATCCGAATCTTACACCCAAAGTTTTAATCTGATGTAAAATGTGTAGAAGTCCATTACTGTATGTAGTAACTATTAAGTCTAATATACCCTAGTAAGCTATAGTACTTTTTTCTTTGGGAAGATACCATCTGTGCAGTCTGCAGTTCTGTTGAAGAAAGATGTTGAATCTATTTAATTATTCTTGAAAAATAATTTATTTCTGTGCATTTTTTTTCACACTGCATCAAATTAAAGTTGATTACGTCAATTAAGCATCATGAGGTGGAGGGTGGGTGGTTCCCTATTTTTTTTTTTTTTAATTTTTTTTTTGCTGGGAGTTTTAGAACCCTATTAGTTAGGTTGCTTACTCTTTAAAATACCAGAATAGGGAGGATGGAGCAAGTTTAAGTTTATTAGATTGATCAGTTTTGCTGAACTATGAAATATTTTGGGTGCAGTGCATTTTTTGCATACAGGTATAACAGAATAGCTTTAGTGTTTTTTTTTAACTTGAGTATGAACTTATACAAAAAGCAGCAAGATATTTAAAAAAGTTTTATTGATTAAAAAACACACTATATCGGATTCATATAGTTTTTCAGCAGATATCCAAATTTATGATATCAGTATAGGACATGAAAAGGTGGTATCGTGCCATCTCTAGTCCACATGCACACAGCTTTCTACATAAAGTTTATTTCCAATCTTAAGACACTTTTCATCCATTTCAGAAATATAAAATATTATAAAGCACTGGCCAAATATCAGTGAAACAGAGGAGTGCTCGGAGAAAGTGAGGCCAAAGGGATTCAGATCCTTCGCCCGCGCTCGGGTACGCCTTTTCTCTCGCTTTGGTGGAAGAAAAAAATAACACAATGTGGCGCTCCAGGCTGACAAGGACAAATGGAAAAATTACACATAGAATTACATTGTGGATGACTGCAGACCGTTTTTGCTAATCAAACACTAATGGTGTGGAAAGTGTAATAATAAGGTGAAGAGAGAAGACCTCTGAGTGGAGTCTGTGTAAGGAGTCAGAGGTAATAATTAGTGTCCGCTTGTGCAGCTGGAAGAGTCTTTCCTGGTGTTTGTGCAGTCGAGATCTTCACTCAAGAGAGTATGAGGTGGAGGAATCAATTCAATCCAATTCCATTTTATTTATATAGCGCCAAATCACAACAAAAGTCGCCTCAAGGCGCTTCATAGGTACAGAGAAAAACCCAACAAATATGACCCCCTATGAGCAAGCACTATGGCGACAGTGGGAAGGAAAAACTCCCTTTTAACAGGAAGAAACCTCCAGTAGAACCAGGCTCAGGGAGGGGCGGCCATCTGCTGCGACCGGTTGGGGTGAGAGAAGGAAAACAGGATGAAAGACATGCTGTGGAAGAGAGAGAGAGAGATTAATAACCGATATGATTCAATGCAGAGAGGTCTATTAACACATACTGAGTGAGAAAGGTGACTGGAAAGGAAAAACTCAATGCATCATGGGAATCCCCGGCAGCCCATTGCAGCATAACTAAGGGAGGATTCAGGGTCACCTGGTCCAGCCCTAACTATATGCTTTAGCAAAAAGGAAAGTTTTAAGCCTAATCTTAAAAGTAGAGATAGTGTCTGTCTCCTGAATCCAAACTGGAAGCTGGTTCCACAGAAGAGGGGCCTGAAAACTGAAGGCTCTCCCTCCCATTCTACTTTTAAATACAACTAGTAGGCCTGCAGAGCGAGAGCGAAGTGCTCTAATAGGGTGATATGATACTACAAGGTCATTAAGATAAGATGGGGCCTGATTATTTAAGACCTTGTATGTGAGGAGCAGGATTTTGAATTCAATTCTGGATTTAACAGGGAGCCAATGAAGGGAAGCCAAAACAGGAGAAATATGCTCTCTCTTTCTAGTCCCTGTCAGTACTCTTGCTGCAGCATTTTGGATTAGCTGAAGGCTTTTCAGTGAGTTTTTTGGACATCCTGATAATAATGAATTACAGTAGTCCAGCCTGGAAGTAATAAATGCATGAACTAGTTTTTCAGCGTCACTAAGAGACAGGATATTTCTAACTTTAGAGATGTTGTGCAAATGGAAGAAAGCAGTCTTACATATTTGTTTAATATGCGCGTTGAAGGACATGTCCTGGTCAAAAATGACTCCAAGGTTCCTCACAGTGTTACTGGAGGCCAAGGTAATGCCATCCAGAGTAAGAATCTGGTTAGATACCATATTTCTAAGATTTTCACGGCCGAGTACAATAACCTCAGTTTTATCTGAATTAAGAAGCAGAAAGTTAGCAGCCATCCAGGTCTTTATTTCTTTAAGACATTCCTGCAGTTTAACTAATTGGTGTGTGTTACCTGGCTTCATGGATAGATAGAGTTGCGGGTCATCTGCATAGCAGTGAAAATTTATGCTGTGCCTTCTAATGATGCTGCCTAAGGGAAGCATGTATAATGTAAACAGAATTGGTCCTAGCACTGAACCCTGTGGAACTCCATAATTGACCTTGTGTGTGAAGAGGACTCTCCATTTACATGTACAAATTGGAGTCTATTAGATAGATATGATACAAACCACTGCAGTGCAGTACCTGTAATACACTCTAAAAAGTAATTCATCAGGCCTTTTACCACCACTTGATTAAATCCATGGCTGCAACATAAAAATTCTAATTTATTGATTAAGATAGACCTTCTAAGTTGCAAACTTTATTTTTTTGGGTTGTGTTGAAATAATAATGTTGGTAATTACATTAAATTAATTTTATATGTAATTTGAAATTAAATCCCAATGTTAGTGGGTTTAAAATAAAATTCAAGTTGTAATTACTTAAAGAAATTGAATAGATAACTTATTTTTTTTCCACTGTAACTTCTGATTTCAAATTCCCTCCCCTACCGACTTAACTAGCCGGGCAAATTCACACATGTTGGGTTGCATGGTGCAAGCTTTTGTAAAAGACATTTCAAGGTAAGTAACATTTCATTTACAAATAACAGTTCTACCAAAGCAAAGCATTTGTGCTAGTCACCTGTAGTGGATTTGTGTATGATGTGATGCTCATACAGATAAGGAAATACTTTGCACTACCACATGTAGCTAATGCTAGCCATTCTAAACTTTAGCACAGCAGAGGATAAGACTTATAAAGTTTCATTTGACAAAAGTCTTCAACTAGAGAGTGCAACTGTGGCTAGGAAAAGTGTGGTTAAAGTTTTGCTACACAGTGCAATCTAATTTCGATCTTAGGCTGATTTTGTTTTTCTTTTTACCAAAATTAGAAGCCTTAAACTGTGAATAGTTTTGTCAGAGGGATAAGGCTTCTTTTTTCCATCTGGCTCACCTTATGTCTTTATAAAACTTGCATGACCTATACGTAATATTACATTGTAAATGATTTTGGTTAGTATTGTGATACAGCTTAAATTGTTCTTGATCTTAAGAGCTGTAGCTATCTTTGTTTTGTTTTTTTGGGGGTTTTTTTTAAATCAGATTGTGTGAAATATTGTTAATGTCATTCCAATAGCATTATTCTGGCATAGGCTATGTGAATCTACTTAATATTAAGACTTTATGTAAGCAGTTAGTATAGTGTGATAATCTAGGGTCATTAGTGCTTTGTTAAGTTGGGACACATTTTTTACAAAATGGGCTGGGAGTGAACAATGTGTAAATTCGAAACCTCTGCAAAAACAGGGTTGCTAAAACATTAGAGATTACACCACGGTTATGGTGGCGAAGTCTCCCTTGTCTTCACCAAGATTGTTTTTGTTCCCTCAAAACTTGGGGTAGCCTTAGATCACTTCTATCCTCTTTAAATAATGTATTAGAGCATTCATTAATGCAGTATAGCTAATAGTCTGCAAGGTTTAATTCTTCTGTTTGTGTGGTCTACAGATAAAGGAGGAGTTCAAGAGAATAACCACTGTAAGCCTTGAATGGCTACACTTGACAATTGCACCCCAAAACTGATGGATGTCATTTTCTCAAGGGGAGGAGCTAAGGGAGTGAGAATCAGGCAGATCAAGGACATGCTTCTTGAGGTAGGACAACTATTTAGACTTTGGGTAGCTTTGAAATGCACTTTGTTGGCAGTCACCCATGTATTTTATACTCATACTTTATTTTTTCTTAAATAGCACAATACAATTGAAACACGCAGAGAAGTAGCCATCTGCTGCCTTATCACTTTCCTTGGAGAGAAGGACGAGGACCTTTTCATGGAGTTTGGTGTAAGTTATTCAGCATTGTGTGTGTGTGTGTGTGTGTGTGTGTGTGTGTGTGTGTGTGTGTGTGTGTGTGTGTGTGTGTGTGTTCCATTGATCATCTGAATTCATTAAGGTTCAGTAAGTATAAAAGTCTAATCTATAATTCACTAACCTATTTTTTAAAATTTGCTTTACAAGGACACCGAAGAACTTAAGGCAGGTGATGAAAACTGCCATCATCAGTGACCGGTACACCCCTGGATCTAACCATAAGACTGCAACCATTGTGGTGGAGGAAACAAAAATCATGGAGGGCCAGAATTTCCCAAGGCGCTGTGTTTTGCTCATGGGCATAATATATGCTCTCAATCTGAGCTAATGCAAGGATCTGAAATATACTTTTGAAGTTGTTCAGAAGCTGTTCCTTGACCTTGATGGAACCATCATTATGTTAAAGATGTTGACTCTGTTTCAAAAATTGTTAACTGTTTTGAATCCTGTATGTGTAAAATTGATCTTAAAGGTGTTTGCTGCATTGTGTAATAGAAAGATGCAAGATCTTGTAAAGTTTGGTAGGCATTGAAAGTTAACATTTACTGAACACTTGCATGGAAGTATTACTGCAACAAAATATTTTCTAAGTAGATTTTTTACCAATTGAACACATTTGTTTCTGTGGTGTTAAATACATAAAGGCATATTCTATAACATGGCTGTGATGGTATAAATCTAAATTTCTGGTTTATTTTCACTTTTTAAATACAAAGTGTTGAAATGCCTACAGTTAAAAAATAAAAAAGTAATTTGATAAAAAAAAAATGTTGAATGAATTCCTTTCTTAAAAGCTATTACAATAAAAAAAAAGAGACAGCTAAAATGATGATAATAATGATGAAAATCAGCAACTTAATATTTTAAATAATGAACTTTAAAAAATTGTTTTTGTAATTGCTGTAATTAATTACATAACACTTAAAAATCATTTCAAATAATGTGGAAAAAGTAATTGGAGGAACATAATTTTTATGAGTAAACAACTTAAAAATATGTTTTTAAGCTACCAAATATTACGTAAATGGTAATTAAAATCACCTTTGATTATGGAGGATAATTTAATTCCCGTAACTCAATATAGTTTGTTGGTTCAATCTAATTTCAACATAAGTTATCATAACTCAAAAAGAGTAATGGAAACTGTTGCGTTAATTTTTTTTGTTGAGCTTAAACAATAGTTTTTAGAGTGTACCTACAGCATGTTCTAATCACTCTGATAGGATATTATGGTCGACAGTATTGAACGCTGCACTAAGGTCTAGCAGGACAAGCACAGAGATGAGTCCACTGTCAGAGGCCATAAGAAGATCATTTGTGAGTGATGTTCGATTCGTGAACGAATCGTTCAATACTCGAGAATCACTTTACTGACTCGTGAATCATGATTCACAAGCCCAACTGACTCACTGACTCATCCCTGTTGCTGTTAGCAAACTAATTTCATTAGTAGAAATATATCTAGCTTATAATTAAAATTGTGGGGGGGGGGAAACAACAGCCAGTTTTGTAACAAAAGCATTTCTGCCCTGAACTGGAAGAAAAAATCCTGAGTAGATCACATCAAGAAAATAGCTCCGAGGTTCAGAGTAGATTTGCTCTGCTAACATGCTAACAACACATTTGAGCTACTCACCCCCTCCCTTCCTGTGCTCAATCGTAAGCATAAGCGAATCACTCAGGACTCACTAACCCCCTCCCTCCTGTGCTGAATCATAGAGCGAACGAACCACTCAGGACTCACTCACCCCCTCTCTCCTGTGCTGAATCATAGAGCGAGCGAACGAATCACTCACTCACTCACTCACTCACCCCCTCCCTCCTGGCTCACAGCTTAGAATAGAATAGCCTTTATTGTCATTGTACAGAGTGCAACGAAATTGGAGTGCCACTCCCTTGGTGCAAGTGTCAATAATAAATATAAATGTAAAATATAAAAAGTACAAAAAAACAATCGTAAGTACTCAAACAATAGTATGTACAATATATACAGGATAGCAGCATTAACATAATGACAGTATGAATAGCAGCATAATATAATGACAGTGACGGTATGGAATAGGTTCAATTGTTTTTGTGCTTATTTACTACGGTGATAGCTCCGGGAAAGAAGCTATCCCTGAATCTGTTTGTCCTGGTTTTATGTGACCTGTACCGTCGGCCTGACGGTAATAGTTCAAACAGTTGGTTGCTGGGGTGAGAGTGGTCCTTGATGATATTGCCAGCTCTGCTGAGGTACCGAGAGTTTGCAGTGACCTCCAGGCTGGGCAGAGAGCAGCCAGTGATCTTCTGGGCTGTGTTGATGACCCTCTGCAGTACTTTCCTGTCCGCAGCTGAGCACCCTGCATACCATGATGTTATGCCGTACGTTAGGAGGCTCTCTATGGTGGCTCTGTAAAATGTCACCAGCAGCCTCTCCTCCAGGTTGTTCCTCCTGAGCACTCTCAGAAAGTGGAGACGCTGCTGGGCCTTTTTAACCACCGCCGTGGTATTTGCAGTCCAGGAGAGGTCATCAGAGATCTGCACGCCCAGAAACCTCATGGAGTGTACCCTCTCCACACAGTTCCCGTGAATGTAAAGTGCTCTGCCCTTCCTGAAGTCCAAGATAAGTTCTTTAGTTTTCGTGGTGTTCAGTTGGAGGTTGTTAACTGAACACCACTCAGTCAACCAAGAAGCTTCTTCTTCTTATTGGTTGGCAACCAATGTTAAGGCGCATTACCGCCCCCTGGCTCACAGCTCAGTGGACATTTAGATGAGAAAATATATATTTGACACACTTAAGGAAAATACTAATAAAATACAAATAAACAAAATAAATGTTTATTAAGCAATTTTGATAGGAAATTGCTTAATTTTAGAAATGTTTTTGCTCTTCTTTGCTCTATAAAATAGTTGTTTGTTTGTTTGTTTTTTAATCATTCATCTTAGCAGTGGGATTTACATGAAAAGAGAAACAAATTAAGTTTGAGTGAAAATGTAAATTTTTTTGCACTCTCTGGTCAACTGACTCAGTGAATCAAATGACTCAAAAAACTCGATTCACTTTGGTGAGTGACTCATTAAAACTCGATTCAGTAAAAAGAATCAAATTTACCATCACTACACCAAGTGGAGGAATCATCAGTAAAGGTCTTTCCTGGTGCTCGGCAGTGATCGGCTAGTAGAGCAGGTTGCGCTCCGGATCACCTCCATCCACCTGGTGGGAAAAAAGGATTTATATCAGTAGCTTCAAACATTGATTGAAATATATCAAACATCGCAGAAGTTCTGTTGGAATACTCCGTCCATCCGTTTACTCCACCTTATCTAATTTATGGCCATGGGAGGGGCTGAAGCATATCCCAGCTATCATAGGGCGAGAGGTGGGGTGCACCCTGGGAAGGTTGCTAGTCGGTTACAGGGCTAAGGAGACTGTTTGAATAGTGTTACTGTTAATATTCACTTTTTAAAATGCTTAATGCTTTCCTTACTTGGGTTTGCTCACAAAACGTTCTATTAAAATAATTTAAATATATAATGCAATACAACTTGGTAAATTGAACTAGACAGAAATTGACTTTTACATTTAAAATGAAACAATTTATCTGAATTTCAGAAGAGGGCCCAGACTATAAGCAGTCTCTTTCCTGTAGTTTGTAATTGTTTTTTCTAAACCTGTTTATTGGACCCACACATAGCATGTAGAAATGCCTTTCAGCTGTTCAAGTGTCAGATTAAATTTTAAGCCTTTATTTACAAGTGCTCTTTAAATGAGTGTCACTCTCTTACCATCTGTGCTAGAGAGAAAATCTAAATGTTTCAGAAAGAAGAGAAGATGAGCTTTATATTTAGAACATGATATTCAGTGTATGAACACATATAGTAAATGCATTTCCAAATATTCCTAAAAAAATTTTTTTTCATTTTAACTTTCCAGGCTTTAGATGACACCTGAGACCACTGCATACCCATATGAGTTGCCACTCACAGCTTAGCCACATCCTAAGGCATATTTTGCTTTATTTTCTATTTTACTGTAAAAATGGTGACAATTTAAAAAGTCAGCATCAAGCTGTGGAGTTGTTCTGGACATTAAAAAGATTTAAGGAATTTATCAAACGTTGTAAAAGATGGATGTAGCTTCAGAGAGTCGGATTAAAAAAATAAAAGGATGGTTTAAGTTAAAGCACGTTGTAACTAATTGCATTTCTGTATTTGCCTCTATTACTGTACACCCACCTCTCAAAGGTGTACTCGCTCTCTGATCTGAAGTAGTAGACGTGAGACTTGAAGTGGAGTTTGAAGACGTAGTCCTTGTGGATGTTTTCTGACTCCGATGGGATGGTGACAGAGTAGCCCAGCAGAGGGAGGCTCGCCAGAGGGTAGTCATCCTGCACATGAGTCAGAAGAGGGAAACATCTGTTAATACAACCTCTACTATTAAACTGATCAGAGTAACCGAAACTACATTCTGTGGCTGCGACTGCACAAATTCAATCTAATTCAATCAGTGTTGGGGAGTAACGGAATACATGTACCACCATTACGTATGTAAAATACAAAATATGAGTAACTGTATTCCATTACAGTTACTGTTTAAAAAGGTAGTATTCAGAATACAGTTACTTTGTTGAAATGAATGGATTACACGGTGGTATTTTCCTGTTTCTGTCACCTCTCTATTTTTGGTTTCCACCAAAACACACATTATGAGGCTTCTAATGCCTGGGTCTCAATCTTGCCGCCCATGTCACCTCTACATGCGGCCCGCATAATGCCGTGAAGAAATATTTTAAAGAATTATATATACGTGCGGAATAGTTTTCTATATGAGATCGCTGCAAAAAGTGCAGCCTTACCTATTGTCCACCCTACTGTTACTCATTTTATATTAAGATTTAAACATCTAGTTTGTTTTAGTATGGCGAGTAACCTTCAGTAAAAGTAATAAATCACACAGCAATAGTACATTCATGTAGTTGTATAAAGTATGATAATATATTAAGTATTCAGAATACGTTACTCTCATTGAGTAACGTAACGGAATACGTTACAAAATACACTTTGGGCCTGTATTCTGTAATCTGTAGTGGAATACATTTTAAAAGTAACCTTCCCAACACTGAATTCAATAAATTTTAAAGACACTATCAGCTTCCCACTTTGAATTATCAAGTCAAACCATTCCTGCGTATTTGCACTGTAACTGCCAGTGTTTTCCTTCTCGTCTTACCTGGTGTGACTTGTAGAAAAACAGACTGAAGTTGGTGAAAACCACCCAGAGTTTCTGCCAGCCATTGCTGTTCTTAAACTTCCTTAGCAGGTTACCTGAGAGCTGGTTCTGCGAAGGCGACAGAAGAAAGGAGAGAGCAAAAAGCAAATGGATAAAACAATCAATGATGCAACACAGTGTTAGTCTAACTGGATGTTAAAACGGAGGAGATATATGTATTTATCTTATTTATTATAAGAGTCATTTATTAATTTATTTCTGATTTGTATAGCTAAACACGTTTGCAGCTGTTGCAGTACCTCTCTAATCCAGCTGGTGTTGCTAAAAGACAGGCTGTGTTTTCTGTACCAGCAAACCAGCAAAGCAAGAGATGAAGTCTACTGAGGGGCCTCATCAACTCACTGGCCGCACTACTGATGGCCTCTACCAATGTTAGTGCACACAGATGCAGAAATAGAGATACACATGAACGCCGATGGAGAAAGACAAAAACACAGATATGAGCAGAAAGAAAAGACACAAAGGACACCGGGGCAATGGTTCTTTGAGCAAGAAGAAGAAGACAGAACAGCGGTAAACAAGTGGGACACAAACAAGCAGTTGGACTCCAAAGTCAGAGGTGGGAAGGAAAAACAGGGAATGTGGCAGGAGAAGAAAGACGAACACAAACACGGCAATGGTACCTCCACAGCTATGCTAAAGTCCACCATGGACATGCTGGTGTTGCCATGCCATCAGATGTGCATGGACTGAAACCTATATCAGCTGCCCAGCTGAGGGAAGACGCAGGCTGCAGGTTGACAGGCTACAGCAGAGCTAATTAATGTCGAAGTTGCCAATACTAAATGACTTATTTCTAAGGTAATTAATGACACATTTCATTAAATGTTTAATGATGTATTCAATATTTAATGGTTTATTTGTTTGTTTGCTTAATTTTAGATTTCAGTATAGTATAAAACCCTTTTTTCTGGGTCCTTTCCCACAATGCAATTTTTTTCTTTAGCGCACTTTAGCGTCCTCTGTTGTTTCCGCCTTTATTTGAAGCACTTCCACGCATGCGTCGTCCTTGGCACGTCCTCAAACTGTTACGGTGGTTCATTTTTACAGTAGAAGAGCTACTTACTGCTTATTCAAGGTGGGTCTGCGCTTCTTTGTGGTAGTTTTATCACTGAGCGCCAAGCGGAAAAAACGTGTGTCACTTTACAGCATATGCTTTAAAACTACACTTCCAGTATCTGTATTTTTCTTACAGCTCGAGCAAGTTCGAGGATGGGCCCATGTCCCCTTTTCGGGCTGTGCCCGGCTGTGCCCCATGGACTAAGGCCCAGCCACCAGATGCACCCTCTTCGGGCCTGAGAAAATCACTCCAGCCTGATGCTGTGCACCTAGAAGAATGCTCTGCAAACCTTTCTCAGAAAAATGAAGATGTACTGTCAGATCAGCTTCATAACACTGACCTTTTAAAGTTTACTACCGTTAACTTCCAGGTGAAGCTAATGTGTAAGTGCCTTCAACCTGCATTCTTTTGAATGGCCAGCCTGTGCTTCATAAAAATGTGATTGCATAGAAGTCTGTGAGGAAATGACCCAGCTGCTTACTTGATTTATGACCTCACCAAAGAGTTTTCCGATGAGTGTGTGGTCTCAAAGAAAGTCTTATTTAATGGCAACTAGGTTAAGAAAGGCTTAGAAGAGACCCAGGGGCCAGATTCTGCCCGGCAGGTGGGCTTTGGAAACTTTTAAAGCTTTTCACACTGAGAAAGATCTCAGATTCCTTTCCTATTCTTTTCATTTACTACAATATAAAATGGACTTGCACTGTAAATGTGCAGTTAAACAAGTTTACACTGACAGAAAGGCGAGTTTTACTGGTCCCACTTAAGATCAAAGCTGATTGTATGTTGCTCATGATGTAAAATGAGTTTGACACCCCTGTCTTAGAGCATTTATACCACACAGATATGAACTCTGATGTGTTTAACTGTTACAGTTCACTTGTCTTTGATTACCTCTGAAATAAAAATTAATTCCTGATTTCTTTTGTATGATCTGTGCTGAGTCTGTCCCCTCCAGGGGATAAACTTTTATTCTGCTTTGTCATAAGCAGAATAAACATCCTGCAAATTACTTACACAGATTTTTACATATGTATTTATCTTCTTTATTACAAAAGTCATTTATTCATTTCTTTCTGATTTCTGATTTGGGGCAATCGTTCTTTGAGCAAAGAAGAAGAAAACACAGTGGTAAACAAGTGGGATACAAGTAGTTGGACTCCAATGTCAGAGGTAGTAAGGAAAAATGGGGAATGTGGCAAGAGAAGAAAGATGCGCACAAACACAGTTAGTGGTATCTCCACAGCTATGCTGAAGTCCACCATGGACACGGTGGTGTTGTAATGCCAGCAGACGTGCACGGGCTGAAACCTATATCAGCTGCCCGGCTAGGGCAAGAGGCAGGTTAAGGTTACAGATCGCCAGTCTACAGGAGGGCAATTAATGACAAAGTCAATTAATTAATACATACAATTAATTTTTCAATAATAATCTTATTTCCAACATAGTTAGTGAAAAATATTGATATTTAATGATGTATTTAATGTTTAATTGTTTATTTCTTTGTTTGTTTTTTGCTTAATTTTGACTTCAGTATAGTATAAAAACCCTTTTTCTAGGTCCTTTCCCACGATGCCCTTGTTTTGTTTGTCACTTTAGCGCCCTCTGTTGTTTCCGCCTTTATTTGGATTGCTTCCACGCATGCGCCATCCAGAGACAGTAGTGACGGCTCTTTCCAGTAGTGATGGGCAGATGAAGCCCCATGAAGCACTGAAGCTTTTCATCCAATTGGTTCACCCCAACGCGAAGCTTCATGAAGCTTCATTTGCTCTAGCAGGACACCTACTGGACGTAAAAATAATAGCTGGCATGAATTTGAAGAGTGTGGCATTTTGCACACAGCCTGTAAATGTCAACAACAAAAGGAGTGTGTAAAACATGTATATTGTAGTGATGGCAGTATACTGTGTATATTTATCCTGGCAGTATGGGAAATGATTATTTGGAAATGCTTGAAATGGAAATGATCATTTACTGTGAGGTGAGGTGTGGTTGGGGTGTGGACAGTAGTTGTGCTTTTGTAACGTTGAGGTATGGACAGCTACACACTGAGGCTTTGAGACTCAGTCCTGCCTGTTCACATTTTATTCTGTAAAAACTAAATGTTCACTGCTTTTATGACCTTTTTAGTGGGGAGAACATAGCTAGGATTTAATGATTTAACAAATCTTTTGAATCCTTTGTCCTCCACAATGCTAAATGGCTGTGAGTCCTCAATCACCATGCTGACCAGGTCTTCATCTATTTGAGATTGTTCTCCTGAGGAAAGACAATAAAGACAAAGCACAAATATAAATATCACACACGTAACTTATAACAGTTGTATAATATTGTTATATCATTTAGTAACATTACTGCATCCTATATTATCATTGCATTTGATGGCTCACCTGGTCTTGCTCCACAATCGGTGTTCCCCTTATTCTCATGCAAAGCTCTGTAGTGCCTAAGCATGGATGAGGTGTTGTTGTTGTTATATCCCAGCTCCCTGGCACATAGCAAACACTTCACCTTGTACAAAAGTAAAGACAGCTTAACATAAATTGTATTGCACCATCAGTATTATGAAAATACATCTTCTGTAGAAATTTACATACCTTGTTGGGAGGAATAAGATCAAAATGTTCCCACACAGGGCAGGACATCCTCCTCTTCTTAGCTGGCTCCATTCTCTCCTGACTTTCCTCACTCTCATAAACCTCCAAACGGTCTCCAAACTCTCACTAACCGCAACTCTCCATCAAACACCCACATTTTTGAATGAAGTCTGAGGGGTTTATATCGCTGTCATATCTCGCGGCAAAGTTCGAACCACTTCATGAACCAGTCACGTGGTACAGCCGGGCAGCGAGGCTTCGGACGTCATCATTTTCAGCTCCTCCCATAAATGAAGCAAGCCTCGATACGCGCTTCGCGGAAACGCCCCCTCCATTACGCGACACAAGCTCCGAAGCCTCGATACAGAACGTCCCATCACTACTTTCCAGTAAAGCTACTGCTTATTCAAGGTGGGTCTGCGCTTCTTTATGGTAGATTTATGACGGAAAAAACGTGTGTCACTTCACAGCGTGTGTATTAAAGCTGCACTTCCGGTATCGGTATTGTTCTTACAGCTCGAGCAGGTTTGAGGAGCTCTGAGGTAGCCTAGCTTATGCTTTTGCATTACACAGTGATGATGTGCTTGCCTGGTAATTGTAACTGACTGTTAACTTACCCATAAGCATAACATGGTGTAAACAGTGTTTTTCACTCATATACTGTCATTGAATGACCTCTCCCAGCTCTAACACTAAAGTATCTGTCCGATTATCTCTCAGCCTGTTAATCATTGAGCACGTACTGTACTTTATATTAATAACCAATCCAAAGAGATCCAGTCACGACAGGTCCAAGTTCACAAGTCACAGCATGACAGGAATGTGTGCAGATCCAGTCTGACAGTTGGTGTTGTAGGAAGTGTTTTATTATAGTCATGTTTAATCTGTGCATGTAATGCTAATCTGCTGATTGTTTTCTGTCACGGTACTGGGTCGTGTGACCCAGTGTTTGAGTTTTATGTATTTTTGTATTCATTTTTGATCTAGTTAATTTCTAGGTTTCTGTTTAGTCCTTTATTTCTTAGTTGTCTACCTGTCATGTTTCATGTCTATGTGGTTATGTTAAGTCTGTCTCCGTGTTTCCTGTTTTATTTTGGAAGAGTCTGGCGTTCTTTGTTCATTGTAGTTAGTGTTACTCTCCCCTGTATTGTCATTATGTTTCATAATCAGCTAGTCAGCTGTGTTCTCATCTGTCTCTGCCTCATGTGTGTATTTAAGTCCTCAGTCTTCCTTTGTTCGTTGTCGTGTCGTATGTGTATCAGTTTAAGTTCACTCCCGTCTCCTCGCCTGTGTTCGCGCCTGGGTCCACCACACACTCTCCACAAGGTCTGCCTCCGCTGGCCGTGACAGCTTTCCTAATTAATGCGTGTAAGGAGTTCAAATTTCCAAACAGTGTTCCTAGATTTGAGTTTGATTTTATTTTATTTTGAAGGTCTGATCATTTTAAATGAGATCAAATTTGCACTTCTGCACAAGTGACTGACATACAGAGTAATAATAAAATTGTATAAATATATTTTTGCCAGTAATACCTGCTGGGAATTTGCTCACAGAGATGTTTCTCCTTTCTTTACACGACAGGTGCGTCTTTGGTCCTCTGTCCTCATGACTCGGGTCTTCGTTTACGGCACTCTGAAGAAGGGGCAGCCCAACAACTACCGCATGTTCGACAGCAACAATGGAAAGGCCGAGTACCTGGGTTCGGCGTTCACCATCCAGAAATACCCGCTAGTGATCACCACCAAGGACAACATCCCTTTCCTGCTCAACATCCCTGGCCAGGGTCACCGAGTGCACGGGGAGATCTACAAAGTGGATGACCAGATGCTGAAATTCCTGGATGACTTTGAAAGCGTCCCAACGTGGTACCAGCGGACGGTGGTCCAGCTGGAAGTGAAGGAGTGGGTGGGGAAGATGGAAGGAGAGGAGAAGGTGTCACCGGGGAGCATCACAGATGCGTTTGTGTACACCGCCACAACGTACAAGCCAGACTGGCGCTCGCTGCCGTGCTACGAGAACTACGACTCAGAGGGAGATCACGGGCTCAAATATAGGCGTAGAGAAGAGCGGGACTGATCTCATCATGCTGATGCAACTGACAAATGGACCTCTATGTGGTGTTAGCAGAACGGGTGAAGGAGCTCTCAGGAAAACAACACCTGGACATGGGTGCTGTTTCCTGTCGTGTGTCGAATTGAAATAAATCACAAGAGAAATTAATTTTAATAGCAGATAGGCAGGCTTACAATCAAAGTAAGGATAGTGTAGAGAAGGAAAAGGGCACACTGTGCCACTGAAAGTTGCACATTAGTGATGTTGTTTACAAATTTGGTTTTCTTTTTATGATTTATAATCATCTGGGAAGCATTATGAGTAATGTATGGCCAGCCTGTGCTTCATAAAAAGTGATTGCATAGAAGTCTGGGAGGAAATGACCTAGCTGCTGATCAATGTGTGGTGTCAATGCCATTAAACAAAACACATTGTGTCATTTGATACACCTGCTCTTAGCAGTGCTGTCAAACATAAGCTCCGGGTGCTAGATTCAGCCCAGCAAAGGCTGCCAATTTGACCCACTGGGTGGGCTTTGGAAATTTTTATAGCATTTTTACACACTGATAAAGATCTCAGATTTTTAACATTTCTTTTCATTTACTATGGTAGAAAAAATGATTTGCACTTTAAATGTGTAGTTAAATGTGTTTATACTGACAGAAAGGAGATTTTCACTGAGTTTGACACTCTAGGCTTAGAGCATTTATATTACACAGATATGAACTCTGATTTTACACTAATCTGCAGACAATGTGTTTAATATTTACATTCTGCACATCTTTGTTTACCTCAAAAATAAAAATTCACCCTGATTTTTTTTGTATGATCTTCCATGTGCTGTGTTCATCCCCTCTAAGGGATAAACTCAATAAAAAGAGGAAAAAAGAAATTTTTGTATAAGTTTCATCTTGTTCCATATGAACACAATCTATTCATCTTTATTTTAAAATAGTAAAACCCATAAAACTTGAGGAATACTGAAGAGAAGGTAATTGGCAATAAACCAGCAAAATCTCTGTTGGCTTTGGAAGAAGGTTTCAGGTGTTTTGAAACAAGACAAAGAAAAAAAAGAATTAAGAATATTTCACAGTGTCAAAAGTACTGTACAAAAAAGATGACTTAATAATAATAATAATGATAAAAAAAAACATTGCAGGATTTCTTATTGTCCAAACTTACATTACATTTAAGTCATCAAATTACATACAGACCGATTGTCATACAATTAAAAACATAATTATTGTGTCCACATGCACACAGCTTTCTACATAATGTTGATTTCCAATCTTAAGACACTTTTCATCCATTTCAGAAATATAAAATATTATAAAGCACTGGCCAAATATCAGTGAAACAGAGGAGCGCTCGGAGAAAGTGAGGCCAAAGGGATTCAGATCCTTCGCCCGCGCTCGGGTACGCCTTTTCTCTCGCTTTGGTGGAAGAAAAAAATAACACAATGTGGCGCTCCAGGCTGACAAGGACAAATGGAAAAATTACACATAGAATTACATTGTGGATGACTGCAGACCGTTTTTGCTAATCAAACACTAATGGTGTGGAAAGTGTAATAATAAGGTGAAGAGGGAAGACCTCTGAGTGGAGTCTGTGTAAGGAGTCAGAGGTAATAATTAGTGTCAGCTTGTGCAGCTGGAAGAGTCTTTCCTGGTGTTTGTGCAGTCGAGATCTTCACTCAAGAGAGTATGAGGTGGAGGAATCATCAGTAAAGGTCTTTCCTGGTGCTCGGCAGTGATCGGCTAGTAGAGCAGGTTGCGCTCCGGATCACCTCCATCCACCTGGTGGGAAAAAAGGATTTATATCAGTAGCTTCAAACATTGATTGAAATATATCAAACATCGCAGAAGTTCTGTTGGAATACTCCGTCCATCCGTTTACTCCACCTTATCTAATTTATGGCCATGGGAGGGGCTGAAGCATATCCCAGCTATCATAGGGCGAGAGGTGGGGTGCACCCTGGGAAGGTTGCTAGTCGGTTACAGGGCTAAGGAGACTGTTTGAATAGTGTTACTGTTAATATTCACTTTTTAAAATACTTAATGCTTTCCTTACTTGGGTTTGCTCACAAAACGTTCTATTAAAATAATTTAAATATATAATGCAATACAACTTGGTAAATTGAACTAGACAGAAATTGACTTTTACATTTAAAATGAAACAATTTATCTGAATTTCAGAAGAGGGCTCAGACTATAAGCAGTCTCTTTCCTGTAGTTTGTAATTGTTTTTCTAAACCTGTTTATTGGACCCACACATAGCATGTAGAAATGCCTTTCAGCTGTTCAAGTGTCAGATTAAATTTTAAGCCTTTATTTACAAGTGCTCTTTAAATGAGTGTCACTCTCTTACCATCTGTGCTAGAGAGAAAATCTAAATGTTTCAGAAAGAAGAGAAGATGAGCTTTATATTTAGAACATGATATTCAGTGTATGAACACATATAGTAAATGCATTTCCAAATATTCCTAAAAAAAAAAAAAAATTTTAATTTTCAAGGCTTTAGATGACGCCTGAGACCACTGCATACCCATATGAGTTGCCACTCACAGCTTAGCCACATCCTAAGGCATATTTTGCTTTATTTTCTATTTTACTGTAAAAATGGTGACAATTTAAAAAGTCAGCATCAAGCTGTGGAGTTGTTCTGGACATTAAAAAGATTTAAGGAATTTATCAAACGTTGTAAAAGATGGATGTAGCTTCAGAGAGTCGGATTAAAAAAATAAAAGGATGGTTTAAGTTAAAGCACGTTGTAACTAATTGCATTTCTGTATTTGCCTCTATTACTGTACACCCACCTCTCAAAGGTGTACTCGCTCTCTGATCTGAAGTAGTAGACGTGAGACTTGAAGTGGAGTTTGAAGACGTAGTCCTTGTGGATGTTTTCTGACTCCGATGGGACGGTGACAGAGTAGCCCAGCAGAGGGAGGCTCGCCAGAGGGTAGTCATCCTGCACATGAGTCAGAAGAGGGAAACATCTGTTAATACAACCTCTACTATTAAACTGATCAGAGTAACCGAAACTACATTCTGTGGCTGCGACTGCACAAATTCAATCTAATTCAATCAGTGTTGGGGAGTAACGGAATACATGTACCACCATTACGTATGTAAAATACAAAATATGAGTAACTGTATTCCATTACAGTTACTGTTTAAAAAGGTAGTATTCAGAATACAGTTACTTTGTTGAAATGAATGGATTACACGGTGGTATTTTCCTGTTTCTGTCACCTCTCTATTTTTGGTTTCCACCAAAACACACATTATGAGGCTTCTAATGCCTGGGTCTCAATCTTGCCGCCCATGTCACCTCTACATGCGGCCCGCATAATGCCGTGAAGAAATATTTTAAAAAATTATTCACAAAAATGATTTAATATGAAGGCAATAGGGAGAGTGTTACAGGCACAGCCCTAAAGAATGTAGCCTCATGGGCAGTGTAGTCCGTGCTGCAGGGAGAATGAGCTGCCATACCTGTTATGTGTCTGTGAGCGCGAGGGAGGGAGAAAAAAAGTTGAAAAGTACGAGTTGTCACCGAGCAGAAACGGGAACTGGAAGCATGCAAACATAATAATAACCACTGCAGCCAAAAAGAGTGCCTGACAAGCCCAGTTGTAAGTAAGTTATTAAGACTCGACTGTACACTGTATTCGTGTTTCCGAAACAATAAGTTTCCTTTTGGAGCAGCCTTTCAACGCCTCTCTCTGGCTCTCGCTAGCAAAGTGGACCCAGACAACAAAGTAAAGCTAGTTTTCGGCTACAAGCCCGACATATAAGCCAGAGGTCCCTTTACTACAGTTTGGAGCCGCGGACCTGTTTTATATACGCGCAGAATAGTTTTCTATACAAGATCGCTGCAAAGAGTGCAGCCTTACCTAATGTCCACCTACTGTTACTCATTTATATTAAGATTTAAACATCTAGTTTGTTTTAGTATGGCGAATAACCTTCAGTAAAAGTAATAAATCACACAGAAATAGTACATTCATGTAGTTGTGAAAAACATGATAATATATTAAGTAACCACAAGTATTCAGAATACCTTATTATTATTGAGTAACGTAACGGAATACGTTACAAAATACATTTTTGGGGCATGTATTCTGTAATCTGTAGTGGAATACATTTTAAAAGTAACGTCTTGATGCATTCTCAAATATCCAGGAAAGTAAATCTCCAAAAGTTGATTCTGTTCATCTGGACGTAGCGTTTTGTGGGAGAAACGTTTCATCACTCATCCAAGTGTCTCAGCTGACTGCAGGTTTCCCCAAATCTTATAAACAGTACATTTGCATAATGACTGAAACCAGCCCACTGAAGGAACAATGGGCTGGGAGGTCAATCAGTCAGTCAATCATAATTATGCAAATTCTCATGACCATTGATCAACAACCACTGACCCCTCCTGAATCGAGGAGGGGGCCTAAGGGTACATCTTTCGCCATCTTACAATGCTGTGATTGCAGCCATTCCCCAACTCTCTGTGAATGGTACTCATGGCCATTGATCAGTGGTCTTTGATCAGTGGGTTTGGTCAGTGGTTGTTGATCAATGGTCATGAGAATTTGCATAATTATGATTAAGGAACTGACCTCCCAGCCCATCGTTCCCTCAGTGGATATGAGGGGACGATGGGCTGCATAATGACAGGTTTTCAGTCATTATGCAAATGTTCTGTTTATAAGATTTGGGGAAACCTGCAGTCAGCTGAGACACTTGGATGAGTGATGAAATGTTTCTCCCACAAAACGCTACGTCCAGATGAACAGAATCAACTTTTGGAGGTTTTAAAAGTAACCTTCCCGACACTGAATTCAATAAATTTTAAAGACACTATCAGCTTCCCACTTTGAATTATCAAGTCAAACCATTCCTGCGTATTTGCACTGTAACTGCCAGTGTTTTCCTTCTCGTCTTACCTGGTGTGACTTGTAGAAAAACAGACTGAAGTTGGTGAAAACCACCCAGAGTTTCTGCCAGCCATTGCTGTTCTTAAACTTCCTTAGCAGGTTACCTGAGAGCTGGTTCTGCGAGGGCGACAGAAGAAAGGAGAGAGCAAAAAGCAAATGGATAAAACAATCAATGATGCAACACAGTGTTAGTCTAACTGGATGTTAAAACGGAGGAGATTATGGGAAAGAGAAAGCCATCAGGTCCTGTCAATGTAATATACTCATGTTGAAATTTAGCGGGAGCATCAGTAGTGCAAAAAAAATGCATAAATATTTGCGAATTTTAGGAAAAAATATTTATTATAAGAGTCATTTATTAATTTATTTCTGATTTGTATAGCTAAACACGTTTGCAGCTGTTGCAGTACCTCTCTAATCCAGCAGGTGTCGCTAAAAGACAGGCTGTGTTTTCTGTACCAGCAAACCAGCAAAGCAAGAGATGAAGTCTGCTGAGGGGCCTCATCAACTCACTGGCCGCACTACTGATGGCCTCTACCAATGTTAGTGCACACAGATGCAGAAATAGAGATACAGATGGACACCGATGGAGAAAGACAAAAACACAGATATGAGCAGAAAGAAAAGACACAAAGGACATCGGGGCAATGGTTCTTTGAGCACAAAGAAGAAGAAGACAGAACAGCGGTAAACAAGTGGGACACAAACAGGCAGCTGGACTCCAAAGACAGAGGTGGGAAGGAAAAACAGGGAATGTGGCAGGAGAAGACGGGCATTAGTGGTACCTCCACAGCTATGCTAAAGTCCACCATGGAAACGCTGGTGTTGCGATGCCAGCAGACATGCACGGTGGTGTTACCGCGATGACCCTGGCGCTCCAGGGACGAGCGCGAGCCGCCAAGCTCGTCCTCAGACTCCTGCTCGCCTCCTCCGTCCTCTGAGAGCTCTGCAAAAAACAGGCA